ATTTTGGAACCTTCCATCCCATTGGAAACTCTGTTTACAAAACAAAGTCTGGTAGAGGGGACGTGTATGTGGGACATCGAAGGCTTGGGTTCACACCGTTGCAAACCATTATGCGCTCGACCATGACCTCTAGATTAGCTTCACCTCCTGGATTATCATTACTAACTTGTCTGACCATGTAGTCTGGGTCTTGGTTCTTGTGAACCATCATAATGGGGGGCCTTTGGGCCACCCTGGGTATATGTTCATACTCAGGCCCATGTAGGTCATTTGTTTCTTTGACAGGATCATTCTGTCGGACATGCGTGTCGGGACGATTGAGAGGTGTTTGTTTTTCTGAAGCCCTGGGGGCCTCTAAGAAGTCTCCTATTCATGTCATCTGAGTTTCCAGTTGTTGGTAACTATGAGTCGAATCTTGTATTAATGGTCTCAAAATAGTGCCTATTTGTTGGGTAAACATATGCGCCATCTCGTGATTGCTTTCGTCCATCTGCTGGCGCATAACCGCGACGGAACTGGTGGTAAAAGCCGGTATTACGATGGAGAATGAACCGAAACCAGATGGCTTTCCCCCTTGCTGGGTTACAGGCCCTAGTTTTCGATATGGCGAGAATGCTGATGAGGAATTTTCTCCCGTGCCTAGCCCACTATAGCGTAATGTTGACATGAACTCTATCGGCAATCCTAAGTGTTAGGGTGCCAACATAGTAAAATTGGGCAAGTATTTCCCCTCGACTCCTGTCGTCGCCGGTCTTGCCTCAGGTCAACGCGGAGTCGTGAATGGTCTGCTATGAGCGGTCAAAGTTATTATTGTGGATTCAGTGCTCACAACCGTCATCGGCAGTAAGACCAAATTTTCCTACGAAGACGGTTCTTCGTTTTGTCATGGTGTTACCATCTTTCCATTATGTAAACACATATACCCAGACCTTCGGGTCCCACTGGGTGTTCCAATTTGTTTGCACGGGTTTTTCGCACGGACCACCTCTGACCTCCCGATGCGGGTTTGCTTGCGGGACCGGCCAAACTAGTCCCATGACTCTGGTTCTAGGTGTGTTGATTACTTGGGATTTGTGATACACTTGACAATTTTTTGAAAGTGTATATGATGAAATTTAAGCAAGTAAGGACAAAACGATGATTTTAGTAAAACAAAGAAATATTAGAAGAATGACATCACAGTAAAGGCATTGTTTTCATAACATAAAAACTTGGTAAATTCAATGTAAAAAAGGAAAATACAAATGGGCGTGTTCGTACGTTTTGTAAGGAAAAGAGAACTCTTTTCTTTTAGTGTGCGGTACTCAGAGTGTTTTTCTTAAAATGCTGATAAAAATGCTTATTTTCTTCAAGCCAAGCTTTGCTTTATATAGGCAAGTGGAATAACCGTCAAATCGCCTCTGGCGCCGCCACGTGTCGGGCCACTACTTTTGTAACTTCCCCCATGTTCTCTTTTTCAAATATATTTCCCGCCAGACAATAAAACCCTTTTGTCAGCTGCCCCTTTTGTCGTCTTGGTCAATTAGCCCATGTCTCTGTCGATCACACAACTTTCCCTGTGCTGTCGACTTAGGATGCGTCCCCTTAAGTCTCGTCGACTTTGACACTTTGCTGCAAATAACTTTTACTGGCTTTTCCCAGCCAACAAATACTGTCGATTTGGGACGTTTCTTCCTATTTCCTGTCAATGTTGACCCTTTGTTGTCGATGTTTTTAGTTGGCTCTTTTCAGCCAACAGTGACCCTGTAGGTTCTCGTTACATTGACAATTATATTCAATTATATATTTAATATAATAAAGAGTGAGCGGTATCTAGCAACACATCATTGCTACCCAAGTCACGAAAATATCATGTGATCTGAAAAAATCTTTTGTGATAGTACTTGTGTGTATAATTACCCTTTTACCTTTATGTTTATATTGAACATAAGGCATATACCATGTCATCCTTGTCCAGTTCAACATTGGGTCTTTAGACATTTATCCTATTATGTAGGATGGGAAAGTTCCATCTAGGCCACTCATGTCCCTCAACATGCTTTGTGGAGTACCCATCAATTGTCTTTATGGTCATCCAGTTACAAATAATATTAGATCAATAATAAAGTACTCAACTATACATCTAGGGTCCATAGTTGTATCAGGTCGAATGGTGGTATACACCATTATCACCATGAAAGTAACTTATGACACTTTGCATAACATTTTATGTAGCACTCTCATAGCGGGTCAATCTAATATAAATATTACTCATAATATTCATACATATATTAAGACTTGATAACTCCTTATCTATGATCCATGAGATGTGATCATCAGTCTATCTACATAATAGTCTTAATGCTTTAAGGTTATCCCACTTGACAGTAAAACTCGACTACAAATACTTTAAGAATAATGTCCTTATGTTTAATGGGATCTCATGATTAAGTCACACTTAATATTTAGTTAAACGAACTAGCTATTATAGGGACTCTATTACTTTGGAAAAACAACCATAATAAAGAAATTCCTTTTACTATTAATAAATAATTCGACACAAGTACCAAAAGTATTGGCCTCTAGGGCTTACACAAACAACTTGGACGCAAGGTACCTTGGTATGCGCCGTAGACAGGTAGTCGTTAGAATTATAGTTTAGTCATGAAATAATATGCTTTGTATGGAACATATTGTGTCGTTGTGTAATTAAGATGAATGTGATCACCTTGTGATTATCAAATACAGTCATGTTGTGTTTTATTTTAATCACGTAGTCGAAAACAACCCCTTGATTGTGTTGTCCCAAGTCATGATACTTATATAGAGTAAGATTGAGATGAATGCGCCGATACTTCACATCAACCAAATGGGTTAGAGTCCCATATGTGCAACCAAATGAGTCAGAATCTCATATATTCAACCAAATGGGTTAGAGTTCCATAGTGCAACAAAATGGGTTATAGTCCCATTGAAGAATTTGAAGTGCCCAAGAAAGTTGAAGTATGATACAAAGATCCGTGACCCAAGTCGATAACCCTAGACGTAGGGCTTGCCAGGAAAAGATACCTTGGTATGATTTCTGATTAGTGATTGTTTGAGTTAATGGACTAAAGGGACATGTTTCTATACATTGCGAGTTTTGTGAACTCAAGTTCTTTTCCCCCTTTGGACTTGAGTTATGATTTGATTAGATCCCTGTAGAGTCGAGTGAACCCATAGGATATGAGAACTCACTGAGATTATTATCTCACCCCAATATTATTGTTATCTTTCAAGTATTGTTTGCAGGTTTAGTATACAAGAGGAGTTGTGCATTGATGTTTCAAGGGATGCAGTTTATTGTGATCTTTCGTTGTGTATCTTGTACAATGACAAATACTGTACTTAGATTTTAGATTTTATTTTTGCCACTTTCCATATCTTGTACCATATGTTATATTTCTTTTTATTTTTATTTTTATAATTGGTCAAATATGTAAATGACGACAATATGCGCTTATGATTGTGTCAGTATCAAATAATAACTTTTATATGCTATTATTCTAGATATATATTATACAAGTTGTTACAACAAGGGTGTGTGACTGAAACAATATAAAGCTCGAAGTTAATGGACAAACTACGAAGATATTCAAGTATCTTAAGACAACTCGCCTCAAAATTTGCTTAAGGGACTTACCCCAATCCCATTTGGGTAAACCATCCCAAGTACCTAGCCGAAGAGTTTTTCTAGCGCCCCATGATAAAGGCTGAAGCCATACTCGTCAATCACTTCACCATTTCCAAGATCTTGTACTTTAAAGGCTGTGGACTGAGATGACTTTACTGGGCTATGAGAGGAATAGTTAAAAGGATACAAGTCAAGTCAATTGCACTAATATTAGGCGAATGCCCAACATCATGCCATAAGTCGCCCGAATCGAACAAACATTTTAGGCACCCAAAGCTAGTCATTATATTGGGCTTGGGCCTAGTCACACTAATTAAACCATGTTTACTATTAATTCAACTGATGGGATACATGAAATGCATAAATCAGTCAATGGATGAGGAATAACAATTTTTCCAACAACGGTGAAAATAGTCAAGTCTTTTCAATCCCATACCTTCGTACAAAATAAAGAAAAACCACTGTTTTTTAACCTCTAATCAAGGCAAAAGCCTCTCCTATATATGCCCCGTTTACAAAATTAAAAAAAATTCTCCACTTTCTTTACAGAAACGGACTCTTAAGACACCATAAATCCTAAGTCTTAGACAACCATACATAGAATTGTCCTTGGATACATTTGTTTAGCAATTGCAATTTAATAGATGATAACAATTAGCATTATATTAATATAAAATTTATTTTAAAAAACTTATTAAACTGTATCTATCTATACATTCTATCTATACAATAAAACAAGAAAACTTTTATTTATCCGACATATTATGACCCCTGTTAGGCCCCATCACAAAGGCGCGTTTTAACTTTAAAAGTAACGAAACGACTCTTATACAAAGTCGTTTTGGAAACCCGTTTACCTCACGCTCTTATACACTAGACTAGAGCAGTAGTAGACAGTGTTAGTGGCGAACAGCGATCATGATTCAACGCACCACAAAAAAAAAAAAAAACAGAATGCATCGTCATGACTTGAATTCATCATCACTGTCAACAACACTCCACCAGCATTAAATTCTCTCAACTAAACTTTCTTCCCTTTTTTCTCTCTTCCTCACACTCACTCTTCCTCTCTCAACAACATCACACACACTCTCTCTCTCATCAATATCCTTTCTCTCTCTAACTTTCTTCATATCCATATTCCTTTCTTTTTCTAGATCTTCTACCGCATTTCATGGATCCGCAAACGAACCTTCCTTCATTTCCTTTTTCGCTTTCTCTCTCCTAGGGTTTTCTTCTTCGCGCTTCTCAGCTATGCTTTCTTTCACTTGCTGCCGTCACGTCGTTGAGCTCCAAGCTGCTTTCGTTTGATCATGCTTTTCGTCGGATTTTTTGTCGGCGACAGAGAATGCTGCCGTCGGTTATCTTCCTCTTTGCTCTACTTAACTTGCTTTTCTCTTCCCAAGGTATGGATGTTTATTCAAGTAAATGCAGAATTATGGAAGAATTTCACATAGCTGGTTTTCTGATCTTGTTACTTCAACATTGCGTGTGTTCGGAATTTCACTTATCTGGTTCTCTAATTTAATTTAATTTATTTTTCAGTGGATTGTCGTAAGAGTTCAATTGATGTAGTTTTTTAATCTAGTGGTTGCATTCTATTAAATCAGAACAATGTCAATTTGATTCTATATTGTCGGCTTCAGCTACTAGAAAGAGCATTGCCTGATTTAGGAACATATTTTACTTACCTCTTAAAGAATATACACGAAAATTTACTTCCTGTTTATCACTACTACATCATTGGATTCCACCAATTTACTAGTTTGAGACTAAACTGGTTAGTATGTACTCAGTTGTTGTAGTAAACTTCAACCAAAAAATCACCTCGAAAATAATTTTTTACTAGTAACCAACCAGTTTATTTATTGGATATTGGTTGTCTTGGGTTGACAGCTTGATGGAAGTTGAAAACCCTTCTCCTCGTTGACGGGCTTTATAGAGTTCAGTGTAATAATTATTTGCTCTTGGGCTCCTGTCCATATTGGATACTATTCTCTTTTACTTTTTTGGGATACAAATTAATTATAAGGAAAGAAAACTAAAGCATAGTAAATGTAGAACCAGCCAAACATGGACAAGTTCCTAAACGGTAGACTTCTTAATGACTCACTATACTAAGTTGAGCATCTCATTTGTATTTAGCCGGAAAATCCACTAACTGATTGCTTTCATAGAAAATTGTTCCAAACTTGAGATCAGTTTTTGTTGTTATTGGGAAAAAATACGGTATGGTATGGTATTTTATTTAGAATGATTCCTTTGAGGTCTTCCCTAGATATACTGCGCCATTATGTATGACATGTAGGCTCTTTGTGTGCAGTGGAGTCATTTTCTCTGAGTGTGCCATTTGCTTCATTGGAACAAGCTAAGTTGTGGTTAGTTAAGCCATCTTATGCACCATCTTATCCACCCGTGTCATCTCCATCTTTCCAAGGTATAGTATAGTGTATATACGTTTTGATAGCCGGTTGAAAAGTTAATATTAGCTTTGAGTCTAACAACTAATCTTATCTTATAGGTCCTAGTGCAACTCCAAAACACAAACATCATCATCGTCACCAGCGCCATCATAGCATGAGACCTTATGTAGGGGCTCCACCACCTTCCAAAGAGCAAGGTAAATTTTGTTTTTTGAATTTAGGTATCCATCATTCCATCATACTCTTTCTTGAGGTAGGGGGTTGTAATTGTAATATCTCAACAGTTATTGCTCTTTTCATATTCTAGTTCATTCTTTAAAGAAAACTATGTTTCTCTAAATCTCTATTTTGTTGTAAGATTGGCAATGAAGTCATGACCATGACTGCTTTGTAAAATAGTATTACGAAATTATGATTCCGCTTCTTTCTTAGTCTATTAGTGTGTTGTATTGATTACTATTAACCATGTTACAATGATATTAACAGAAATAATGTCAAAAACAGAAATATTTGGAAGAAAAATTCTTAATGTAATCAGTTGTCTTCCTTGATCACCAATGTTTATTTATTTGAGACTAAATTTGCCTCTGATAATGATTTTTTGTCTTTAATTCATGGTATGAATAATTTTAAACTAAATTTGTATCTTTCGCAGCCCATAGTATCTTTAAATTATTTCCTACTTTTTAAAGTTAAGATAAGGTGTAGTTTGTTTAAATAATACAGTAGAACTAAATTTTTTTGTTTACATGCACTGGTCAAATTAATGTTTTCTCAGAATGAGGCCTTTAACTTATTGATTGGATTTGTGAACCCAACATTTGTTTTTGGCCCTCCTTGTCAATATCTCATACCATATACATAATTATAATGTAATGCTGCAGCTTGCGATCAAATATGTACGGATCCTCTCACGTCAACTCCCTTTGGTTCACCTTGTGGTTGTGTATTTCCTATGAAAGTCAAACTTACACTGGATGTAGCTCCTTATGCTGTTTTTCCAGTAATGAACGAGTTAGAGTATGAAGTTGCACTAGGCACATATTTAGAACAGAGTCAGGTGAAGATAATGGGTGCAACTGCTGACGGTCAAAATCAGGGAAGAACTATTGTTGATATAAACTTGGTTCCATTGGGAGAGAAATTTGACAACACAACTGCAGCCCTGACATACGAGAGGTTATGGCATAAAAAAGTTCCTCTAAATAAGAGCCTTTTTGGTGATTATGCTGTTGTGTACATTACATATCCAGGTAGTTGTTTTCTCCTAATAACATCTTACTTTACCGATACCATGTTACTGTTTGAGACTGAAGCTGTTTGTATCAGGAATTCCATCTTCACCACCATATGGAACTTCAATCGGGAGCGGTCCTAGTGAAAATGCTGATGGTAGTTTGCCAGTGAGTGCCAATTTTGCTAGCAAGAACCAGAAAACAAATCTTAGAACTATAATCATCATTGCTTTGTCTTCGTTTGTTCTCTTGCTGGTTTTGGTTGGAGCATTTTCTGTTGCTCTGAAATGGAGGAAGACTAGGAGACCATCAAGTGCAGTTGGCCCAGCATTTACATCTTCCCTGAACAAGAGATCTGGTATTATTTTGAACCTCTTTTTGACATTTAGCAACCATGTATTATGGTGTTTAAATTGGTCTTCATTTTGTTAGTGCTGGATGTAAAAACCATTCAAATAAGTGTCACTTTATCTGCTCAAACTTTTGGCAGAGTTATTCATAACACACCATTAGAGCCTCTATGGCCACGGGGACTGTTCAATCTTTGTTGTCCACATTCTTCTTTCTTCTAAGTAAAATTTAAATATCAGCAAAAGGTTGGGTTAAACATGTAATTGTCATGCTTCAAGCCCAAAGAGAGGTTTTGTGTGAGGGTATGTTAGATATAAAAACATGTCATTTTCACCTACAACAAGCTTAAGCTTTCCGGATAATTTGTTTATGACAGTCTGATTGCTAATTATTTATTGTACATTATTCCTTAGTTTGGTTGTGTCTCTGAGTGTAGTTTCTTTCAGTCTACTATGCTGTTTTTGTCTAATTAAGCTCTGTTTCGTGGGAATTTGCATCGTGTTGATCTGTTTGGCTTTGAAGTTTTACCTACTGTTACTAGTTGATGTTGCTTTTGTGCCACACTTCAATTAGTTTTCAGTTATTTTCACGTGTAATCTTTCTTGGTTATCCGTAAAAAGTCAATTATATAACAGTTGGAAGTATGTAAATGGATTGATACTTATAATGCAGGCTTGGGGTCTATGCTGTCAAGCAGTATTACGAGCTCGACATCAGTGTCCCTCATGTCTACAATGCCTACTTCCATTCTCTCTGTTAAAACATTTTCACTGTCTGAGATTGAGAAAGCAACACATAAGTTTAATTCAAAGAGAGTATTAGGGGAAGGAGGATTTGGACGTGTGTATAGTGGGACATTAGAAGATGGGGCTGAGGTTGCAGTGAAGCTCCTTACAAAGGATAATCAAAATGGAGACCGTGAATTTATTGCAGAAGTTGAAATGTTAAGCCGTTTGCATCATCGCAATCTAGTGAAACTTATTGGTATTTGCATTGAAGGGCGCAGGCGTTGTCTGGTGTATGAGCTAGTTCCGAATGGCAGCGTTGAGTCCCATTTGCATGGTAATATATTTTCACCAGCTCGGGAGCCTCCGTCACTTTATATGTCTTTGCTATCTGCAAAATTAAATTATTTAAATGCTCATTATTGATCCTACAGGTGATGACAAGAATAGGGGACCTCTAGATTGGGAAGCACGGATGAAAATTGCCCTTGGAGCTGCAAGAGGATTGGCTTATCTTCACGAGGATTCCAATCCCCGTGTAATTCATCGAGACTTCAAAGCTAGCAATGTACTATTAGAAGACGACTTTACCCCTAAAGTTTCTGATTTCGGTTTGGCACGAGAAGCAACTGAAGGAAGTAATCATATTTCTACACGGGTGATGGGGACTTTTGGGTAAGTGTAAATAGACTTTATCTGCTGCATATATAAGTTGGTCAATAAAGTTTTGGAATGTATCAAACTCTTGGCATCTAGGTAACTTGCATATTTTACTTTGATTAACCTAAGAAAGATTGTGATAGGTTAATACATTTTTTTTACAAACTGCCCATTAACCATCAGTTTTATTCAAATGGTCTCTTCTCTCATGTGAAGATTTTATCTTTATAAATGCATTCTGCTCTACGATTGCGAGGTGTAATTTGTACAATGCAAATTCCAAGCCTTAACCTGATACACTTCTATCTATTCCTTTTACAGGTACGTTGCCCCAGAATATGCAATGACAGGCCATTTACTAGTTAAAAGTGATGTTTATAGTTACGGAGTTGTGCTTCTTGAACTTCTCACTGGCAGAAAACCAGTGGATATGTCTCAACCTCAGGGACAGGAGAATCTTGTAACTTGGGCGCGGGCACTGTTGACCAGTAGAGAAGGTTTAGAACAGCTAGTGGATCCATCTTTGGCTGGAAGTTACAACTTTGATGACATGGCAAAGGTAGCAGCTATTGCGTCAATGTGTGTTCACTCCGAGGTCACACAGAGACCTTTTATGGGTGAAGTTGTGCAGGCTCTTAAACTGATATACAATGACACAGATGAGACTTGTGGAGATTATTGTAGTCAGAAGGACTCCTCTGCTCAGGAATCTGATTTTAGAGGTGAGCTTGCCCCTTCTGATAGCAGTTGGTGGAATGGTGGAGGATTAACACCTCGATTAACTTATGGACAAGCATCTTCCTTCATCACAATGGAATACAGTTCTGGTCCACTGGAAGATATGGAAAACAGACCGTTTTCAACTTCAAGCTTTAATGGAGATGAGATATCTTTACCAATTAGGCATGGGAATAGATCAGGTCCCTTAAGAACAATCCGAAGCAAGTTATCTTTATATAGATTTTCAGGAAGTCGAAGTGAGCATGGGGAGCGTTCTTCTAAGCGAAGTTGGGTATGATGGTTACCGGGCTTAAGGTTTGGTGTATTTTTAGTGTATTTGAAATGTACAGTTCCTAAAGGAATCCGAACAATTGATTGAGTGACTGTTTAGCTTAGGCATCTCAAATTTCTGCAGTTTTCATGTTAAAAGGTTGGAGAGAAACAGGATATTGACTAATTTTGAAATATTAATTCATTATTATACAAGGAGGAAATGTAACACTAACAATGTTGTAAAATGCCTTGAATTGTATCTCGTGGCTCCATTTGATTTAAGTGCCACAACCAAAACGAAATCCCGGTGGCATTCATCTACTTTATTATTTTATTAGGTGACGTATTTGATTACGAAGCTTTTACATTTTTCCGCCATTTAACATATAAATTCCTAAAGAGACTTACCATGGTGTACCATGAAAGTTAACTGACTCAAAATTAAAACAAACTGAATTAAATCACTATCAGTTAGTGCACTAACTGAATTAAATTACTATCAGTTACGGTCTGTGTCAGTAACAAACTAATCAGAAGTTTGTTATTTTTTGACCATACAAATTTCAAACACACTTTGGGTCTGATTGCTTTTTTTTTTTTTTTTTTTTTTTAAATTAGTGTAATATAATTGTGTAAAAAAAATTTATAAATATTTTTTTTATAAAAACTTCAAATGAATATTTAGTTTAAATAATTATTTTTAAATATTTTAGATATTTTACTATTATATTGAAACCTTTTTTGAATATCTAAATTTTTAAAAATTAATTAATTTTGAAGTTATTTTAAATAATTTTTTATAAAAATAAAAAATATATAATTTTTTGAAAAAACTGTAATTTCATCTGTGTTTTAATCTTTAATAATATATGTATTATAGAATGTCGAAATTAATCTTTCAATTAAAAAAAAGAAAAAAAAATTATAATATTTTAAAAAACGATTTTATAAAATCCATTTTTGAAAATATAAAAGAAAAAAATTATTTTTGTAAAACTAAAACAAAACTGCCATTTCTTTCAAACTCTCCATATATTTTGAGAATTTCTTATGGCACTCTAGGTTGTTCTTAGGCACCAACAAATTTTTTAAATGCTTATACATTTCGGAGATGCATCTTCGGACGCACATATTTTTGAATAAACGTTGACATATTTTAGAGATATATCTCCGAAACCATTTTAAACATTTAAAACATGTTACTTAAAAGCCATTTACATTTGAATTGTTCCGAAGATGTATATCCAGTAATATTCCAGAGATACATTTTCAAAGTGTATCAGAACAACTTTTTTTCACTAGAAGCTGTGTATTTGTTTTCAGACGAAGTATGATGCACGATCGCGAATAAAAAAAATAAACGTACAAAATAATAAGAGACTAATACCGAGTGTGTCGAAAATAATATAACAATATATGTAAAAAATGTCGTACAATTGAGATCTAAAATGTAATAAAATCGTAAAAATAAAGTAGAAAGTATAGTATTGCAACAAAATAATAACTGTTCCGGTCTGGGCCCGACCTCGGCCCAGCCTAATACCGCGCACGGCCCAATAAGCGAATTGGCCACGCCGGGCACGCGCGTCCCACAGGACGGGCGGAGCACGCCACAGGACACAAGCAGCGTGTCCAACAGCATCTCGTCGTCCCCTCTTATCAGCCGAACATGACACACTCCGGCGCGTCAAAGCGCGGCCTTGGTTCCTCCCCAACCTCGCGAGCTCCCCTCCGCGAGGAGAACAACGTGCCTGGCGCACGTTCTCCACGTGCTCCCTTCCGCGGGGACACGTCATCTCCCAACTGCCCACCTCCGAAAGAGCAGGTCAAACCCACTTTCCGGAGATCACGAGACAGTTGGACTAGGGCGAAGACCACGTTCTGGTCTTCACTACGCCACGTAAGCCCTAGCAGTCATTAGGGTTGGGCCTGGTCATCCAGCCCACCTCAAATGACCGTTGGCCCATCGCTGAGGTCTCTCTATAAATACCCTCTTCCTCAAGAGGGTCAGGTAATTCACTTCTTGCCCAATTTCTATACTTTGCTCTCGCTCTGCCCAATTCCTTACTTTGGCATCAGAGTGTTTTGCAGGTATACCCCCCTTTTTTCTCCTCAGCACCGGTGAGCACGCAACAGTCCAATAGAGTGTGGCCGGCCCGTGATCCCCTTCTGATCAGGTCAGATCAGTGGCGCCGTCTGTGGGAACGAAAACTTCCCCGTTACTCCGAGCAGAAAACCAAAGTTTCACCAATACTCCACGGTCATGGCTATCCCACACCGCGACGACACTCCGCACGACCTCGCGCTCAACGTCGCCACCAACGGAAACAAGCAGATGGAAATGACGCGTCCGGCGGAAACCGATGAGAGGGACGGCCAAACTGCCTCACCTTCATCCGCAGAGCGACCCCTCCAGGCCGACCACCGGCCCCCAGGTCCGCCAGCATTCCAACCCGTTCCCATTCCGGCGGGAGCAGACCCGACGGTGGCCGCCCTCTTCGCGACCGTCAACCAGACGAACCAGCTGCTGGCCCAGCAAAACGCGAGAATTGGAGCGTTGGAACGCGTCGACCCTCCGAGGTACCCCCCGCGGGAAGACCAGAACGGAGGTTCGAGGAGTCCCTCACCTCGACCCACAAATCGCCGGCCACGGCTGGAGAGGCACCGCAAACAGGTAGCGCGAGAACGCACCAGGTCCCCAGCAAGACAGGTTCGCGAGCGGAACCAAAGCACCGCGGCGATCCCGACCGGGGATCCCCGAGGCGAAAACTCAGGCAGGAGGTCGAGAACCCGAAACCAGGGCCCTGTTTTGAACGGCTCGTCCCCCCATCGATCCCCGGCACCCAGCGACGAGGACGATTACCGCACCCCGCTGTCCCGAGAGATCATGGCTGCCCCCATACCCCAAGGGATGGAGAAGCCCCCGACGCTGTCGACGTACGACGGCACATCCGACCCGGACGACCACCTGGAAGACATCGAGGCCATGCTCGATTACCGAAACGTCCGGGGAGCCATCAAGTGCAGACTCTTCCCGACGACTCTGAGGAAGGGCGCTATGACCTGGTATAAAAGTCTGGAGCCCGAATCAGTTACATCATGGAGGGTCTTGAAGGACCTGTTCTCCAAACACTTCACGGCGTCCCGACGCCACCCGAAGACGGAAGCAGTCCTCGGGGAGATCATCCAGGGCCCCGACGAACCTCTCCGAAAGTACATCGAGAGATTCACTCGGGAAGCAGTGCAGGTGACGACGTCAGACGAGATGAAACGCTACTTAATGGAACAAGGTCTGCGCCACGACTCCAAGTTCTACGAGGCCGTAGGCATACACCGACCAACGTCCCTCCAAGATTTCCTCGACAGAGTCGCGCATTACATCCGATTAGAAGAAACACAAGCGGCCAAATCCGCTCGAGACACTAGATACAGGGAGGCCCCCCGCGGGCACCGAGACGACGGAGCCTCGAGCCATCGACGAGGAGGAGACCGCCGTCGAGAAGACCTCCCACGCGAGCCACGCGAACAACGCGAACCGCGCGGCCCGGCCGGCAGATTCACAGAGTACACGGCCTTAGTCGCTTCACGCGAGCGCATACTGGCCGAATGCGCTAAAACCGAACTCGTGCAGGGAGGTGTCCGTTTTCCGCGACCAACACCCCCCAAACCCAACGTGGACAAATCGAAATACTGCCGATTCCACAGGAGCCACGGGCACGTGACAGAAGACTGCATTCATCTCAAAGACGCGATCGAAATTTTGATCAAAGACGGTCACCTGAAGAGATACACCCGAGGAGGCGAACCACCTAGGCAAGAGGCTCCAGAAGCCAAGAAACTCGAGGAATTTCCCTCTCCAGAGGACAACAGCAGGCTCCAGGTCGCGCTGTGTGTCAGCCGCCCCGAGGATTGGTTCGCGGGAAGAGAATTCGGTCTCCCTGAAGGACCCGACCTAATCGACGAGCCAATCTGACCAACCAGCCGGTGGGAGTACTTCCCCAGAGCCATGGTCATCTCTGATGGAGCCACGAGGAGCCTGTCCATAGGATCCGTGAAAAGAAAATTCGACGAACTCATCGCGAACAACTCCGGCAAAATGAGCACGCTCGACAAATTCCGAGGCCACTCCAACCCGATCACATTTTACCTCGAAGAACTCCCCGGGGGATCCCCCAACTCCAACATACCCTTACTCATACGTGCAAGGATGGCAAACTTCGACGTCAGGCGCCTCCTCGTCGACGGCGGAAGCTCGGTTGACATCATGTACTCACACCTGTTCACAACTCTCCAGCTCGACGAATCCAACCTTTCCCCCTACGTAGGCTCCGACCTTCAGGGGTTCAACGGGACGACGACGAGACCTTGGGGATACGTGGAATTGAAAGTCACCTTCGGAGAAGAGGAAACAACTAGGGACATCAACATCCGCTTCTTAGTCATCGAATACCCATCCCTCTATAACTGCATCCTGGGCAGGACGACGATAGCAGAACTCACCGCGGTACCCTCCACCGTCCACCTGAAGATGAAATACTACACAAGACGGGGGGCCGTGGTGACCCTTAACGGAGACATTGAGGCCGCCCGAAGATGTTTTGAGACTGCGCTGAAAGGCCTAGACTCCATCGCTCCAGCGACCAAGAAGAAAACTTCAAACACAACGCCAAAGGGCGAACCAACGGAGCTGGTCGGATCCGTTGAACTCGACAGTCGCTTCACCGGCGAGCTCGACCATGAAACGAAGACCAGCGAAGTCAACGGGCAGCCCTCACACCCAACCCGCCCCATCCCGGACGGAGAATTCGAACTCATCCCCCTCGGGGAAGACACGAGCAGAACCGTGAGGATAGGCGCCGGACTCCCAGACCTCACGAAACGACAGCTCCAAGCCTGCCTCCGCGAGAACGCCGACCTCTTCGCCTGGAGCGCCGCAGAAATGCCCGGACTCGACCCCGGGTCGCCTGCCACCAGCTGTCCATCAACCCGACCGCAAAGGCCGTTGTGCAACGCCGGCGTCGCCAA